GAACGGCGGTCAACGAGCGAGTGATGTCGATGATGATTGCTGGAGGGACAATCAGCGCGCTGCGAGCAAGTGTGAAAGAAGACGTACGTGAACGAGCGAGGGGGAATGTTCGACCTGCCGTCCACCGTCAAAGCGCGTGCTATTTATTGCGCAGAGGAGGCATCACTGTGATGTCGTTCCAGCTCTCTATGAGCGTCAAGACATGGAAAGGAGACTCATGGCCAGGCACTGGTGCTGTCGTGCTGTGGCAGTGGTGAAGGTAGGAGGTTCGGACAAGCCGAGCACAAGGAAGTCACAGCGACCACGCTATCCACTGCTGTCACGATGTGGCACCATGGCAGCGGTCAAGGCAAGCGGTGGCGAGAAATGCAGCGACGCGCGATACATGCGGCCGCACAGAGAGCGGTGGTCTGGCCACTTGGCAAGTTTTCACGAAACACCCTCGAAAAAAATACAGCCAATCGTACGGATAGCAGTGACATCTGGCACTGTTCGTAGGACGTTCATCGATCGCAATCCGCGGACGTTCACGCGCACTGGCAGTGCTAGTGACGGGCGATTGATACCTTGAAGATGCGTCATGCTTTTGGCTCAGAAGCGTTCTTGATGTGTGCTGATCGTTGATGCGATGCATTGATGGTGCAATCCGTCCCTAATTTCTTTTGATGGACAGATTGGCCTCGGCGGTCTTTCCTTCAGATCTGCGAGCTAAGGCCGGCCAGGACCAGCGGGACACGGTCTGTAAAGTGTCCTGCGCCTGCGTTCGTGTTACCGTCTTCACATTCACTCACACATCAGCCTAGTTGGCATGCATCGCCGCTCGACACAGGCTATCCAGGCGGTCGCTGCTGGACGTGTTATGAAGATTCGAAGCGAGCAACGTCATCCGTTCAACTTGGACGCCGAGTGACCTGGCGAGCTGACAAGCACCGTGCATATCAGCTACGACTCGACGATTGGCGACGGAACATACTCTTAATCAAGGGGCATCGATCAAGGATCACTGTATAATCGATGCATCCTTCGCTGGGACAGATGGGAGACGTCAAAGAGCACACGCACTCGAAGCGCGGCCACGGCCAGGGGGATCCGCGTTCTGCGCAGGTGACTTGCTGGCACATCCGTGCGCGACGGCATCACGCACTCGTCAAGTACTCGTTCACCACGGGCATGTGGACATTTGCGATCGTTCATGCATTTGACAAATTTTGGCAGTGTTGCAAACGCCACACTTTGAAAGTATTTGCAATACGAACAAACGTCTTCGTTTCTGCAGTGGGATCGATGGCATGGTCGTAGCATCTTGGGTCGATGGCTGATAATAGCGTGCACTTTTCGTCGTCCCGATCTGAGATGCTAATGGTTGCAGGTCTCTCGTTCCTGCGTCAAAGTCTTGAACAGAGACAGTATTGCATTGTGGCCGCGTCATCTATGGTCGAAGAGTCGCAATTCATCTTCTGCCTACTCCGCAGCCATGGATATCCGAAGCCCGTGGAGGTTGAAGGAATTGCCTCATCTGCCCACCCGGGGATGCGAGACTACAGCCACCGTGAGATGCTGCAAACGAACTACGAGAGACCCCGACTTACAAAGGAGGGTTGATATCGTCCAACAGCAATTACCACAGCCTTCCCTTAAAGCACTATTGTACCCTCACGAGCGACTTCACTCCGCTCGTGGGTCGCGCTGATACAGCCGCGAATAGCAACTGGGACATGCATGGAAGTTGGAGCTGTGGTCATGCATATGCAGGCAACGATCGTCCGCAGTGGATGTGCTGAATGTCACTTGACCTGCACGCGCTGAGGTTATAAATGAATCGTTCATGCATGCAAACGCGAGCATCGTCGAGAAGATGAAAGCGAGACGACGAGAGAGAGACGAGAGGCAGATGCCATCACGGCCGACGACATCACTGCAAGCACGTGTGCCGTACGAATCACCATAGTCTCTCCATTACAGTAATATTCATCTCAATCTTTATTTAAAGTACAGCCCTCGCGACATCCTCAACAGCCATTTTTCCTGTCTGAAGTATGGTCCACAGACGAAAGGAATCAAATTCTCCCAGAAATGATCCTTGAATCCAATATATTCCTCGTTCTTCTTCTGTCTCTGCATTGCTACATACTCGAACCAAGGTGGATAGTATCCTGCCCATGCCCAGTCGATCATCCAAAGTCGACCATCTTCGCCTGCGATGATGTTCCGAGGATTGATATCTTGGTGTGTAAGAACGAGTGGTGAGGAATCATCGAATGACTCTTTCCTCGACGGATCGTCTTCAGGAACTTGGTTCGAGTCCAATGCCATTTTGCACCGTTTTTTTGAAGAAGGCCGATAGCTCCGCATACGATGCGAATGGTCCACGGTGAGATCGGACCTGACCAAAAATGGGCGATTCACAAATCCGTGGTCCTTGCACACTAAGCGGTCCTGGAGGCGTGGTAGGAGATGCCTTCAGACAATGTAGCTGACGGACATAGCGACACAAGATGAAAGCGACACAGATCTTCTTCCATATCGATAAATCTGACCAGATTTCAGCCAGAGTTGAACCCCTGACATAATCCATGACAATGAGGTGATCCCACTTCCGCTTTACGACGCGACGAACTCGCGGAACGGGGATCTTCGTCTTTGCGAACACGAGTGT